TTGACCTTCCATCACCACTAATATCCACTAATACCCCAACATTTCAAGAACTCTATGAAGACATAGCTGATATAAGTGTACCAAACTTGTTAGTACACTCAAAAAAATGTTGGAAAGCTAGCAAGTCCCTCTTCCATTCTTATGCCTATGCATTCTTTAGCCCTCTCCTTTGCCCAATCCATAACTAAAACTTTTAGAGAAAGAAATCCATCCTTAAACACAAGCACACTAAGCCTTCCCTTCCTTCCCCTAGAAGATCTTCGAGTTGAGGAGACCATTGTTGAAGAACCTAAAGACTAAGGCATTAAAGGCCAACTTTAATAGCAAGATCAAGAAAATCTGACCACTAAAAGTCAGCTTGAAGAGCATTCAGGGATCCAACCTAAATCTAAGGGAGCTACTGATGACTTAAAAGAAGGACTAGACCCCATTCCTCCTATAGACCCAAATGACTCCTCTACATAGGCTATGATTGCTTCTACTCAACCTTACAACCCATACTCTCTGTCTGATAGAGAGGTCTTAGAAGCCTATCTTCACTTCAGAGTTTATTCTCTCTTTGGAATGCCTGTATCTTTTTGATGATTCCAAATAGGAAGAAATACTAGAGATACTAGCTTAAGGGGAAATTGTAGTAGGATTTCATAAACCATAGGGATAATTTTCTTAGTTTTTGGAGGAATGCGTCAAAGGTTTTATATAATCATTAGTATATCATTTAGACACTACTTGTATCTTGTTATTTATCAATGGAAATTTTGTTCAACTCATTCATGTCTTTTCAATCCTTAAATTTCAAGTTCATTATTCTGCACTTACATTCTTTAAGCTCATATGCCTGATTAAAGGAGACTATTTTATTAAACAAAACTAAGAACCCTAATCTTAGGTTTTGTCATTATCAAAAATGGGGAAGAATGTTAAATCATATGTTTTGATGATTATAAAATCGAGAGAAGAATTGTGTGTTATTTATGCAAATACAAAAGATTCATGGATGAGACAAAACCCTTAAGAGCTTGCAAAATCAACAGAAGAAGATTTATAGGTTTAAGTTATTTATTTCTCTTAGATGCAATGTGAAAATTATGAGAGCTTAAACACGTGTTATCAATTTTAAAATGAATGCATCATCTTAGGCTCATAAGTCTTATTTGTGCATTTTAAGAATTGTCTTAGTCAAACTTGAGAGTAATGTCATTTATGTTTGAATTAGATCAGAGAAGTTGAGCTTTTAATTATATGATGTTTCACGTGTGATTCAAAATGGTTCCATATGTGATTTGTCACTTTGTTTGAATGATACCTTGATAAAGCTTCTGTGCTCCAATTCACATAAGATACCCATGTGTATGCACGCTTGAATTGTCACCAAATGTTCAATTTCATTGTGAGTAGTAACATTTCATGCCTGGAAGAGAAAGTTTTCACATGTGTTTTGTCATTGAGTTTCTTCAACACATTTAGCCTAGGTGAGTCTTAAGCCCATTCAAGCTTATTTTATATTGTACACTTGCATGATTTGTTATCTATTGAAACTTAGTCTTATAATCAAGCAATCCATGCTTGAATGCACATTGGTTCCACTTGTGATTTGTGTCCTAGAATGGTTTAGGTTTCATAACCAATCATTTCACGCATGATAGTTAGTTGGTCCCATGCATGATTTGTCACTTAGAATTGGCTTTAGCTTTCTACCAGCCAATTCATGTGTGAGACCTTGAGGGAACCATGCCTATTGTCACACATAATGGTTTGCATCTTCTTATCTTACAAAACACTCGTGAGTCACTCTGGTGGTTATGCTTAAATTGTTATATATACTTGATTGGAACTTGTCTAGCTCCATTTCACACATGAATCTTTTAGTTACATGCAAGAAATATCACCAATGGCTATAAATACTATTCCAATGGTTTGTTAACTACCAAATATGTGTGTGTGCGCGCGCGTGCGTGTGTGTGTGTGATGCAATTCAAGTCTAGAACAAGAATTATGATCTTCAAGTGAACTATTCATCATTTAAACATTCTTAAAAGCTTTCAATCTGTGTATCAAAGTCTTGTGTTCATTCATTTATCATTCTTGCTAAATTTTGTGAAAAAAGTCTCATTAGTTCTGAAGCTTTCATTGTATTCAATATACTCTTTCTAGAGAATTTATCTTTTAGAGATCTTTACTTTGTAAACAATTTGAACATTCATCATTTGAACATTCTTAAAAGCTTTCAATCTGTGTATCAAAGTCTTGTGTTCATTCATTTATTATTCTTTCTAAATTTTGTGAAAAAACTCTCATTAGTTCTGAAGCTTTCATTGTATTCAATATACTCTTTCTAGAGAGTTTATCTTTTAGAGATCTTTACTTTGTAAATAATCTGAAATCTTGAAAAGAGATTTTTCAAGTGAATTGTAACAGCTTGCTAGTTGTAGCAAGGTTGGTTATTTGAATCAAGACTAGTCAAGTCTTGTGAGTTGTACTAAGGCTACAAGCACTCACTTAAGCTTATGTTTATAGTTGAAAATCCCAAGGATGATCTTAAGAACTGGACGTAGGCCAAGATTTGGGTTGAACCAGGATAAATCTCTTGTGTCAAATCTTTTAACTCCTTACATCTATCTTCCTCTCTTTATAATTCTCTAGAAAAATTAAGTGTCACCCAACTCACCCTCTCTTAGGTGCCAGCCTTATCTAACAAGTCATTAGTTGGAGCTAACTCCAAGTCTTCCAAAAACTAAAGCCCTAGCATGGCAGACCTCTTCTCCCTCTCTCTTGCATGTTTTTTCTCCCTTCTTTCCATCTAAACCACAAGCTGATTCATGATTTGATTTATCCAATTTTTGTGCCATACACCGTGCATATGTCATGATGCGTGGCACAGCCAGACACTTCTCACTATTGCTCATGCATTTCGCTCATGATTGGCACAGTCTTTTATTTTTGAAAAATTAATTATAGAGATAGCCTTTTTTTCAAGAAGAAAGCTCTTCCTTCAAGAGAAAATGTTACCTATTGCCTTTTATTTTTAAGAAAGTAATTATAGAGATAATGATTTCTTGGGTAAATGTCACCATCAATGCTATCATTCTATGTCGTTTTATTAATGAATGGAATGTCACCTAAGATTTTAAATAGTTTTGAGACTTATAGCATTTATCAACTCTATGAAATTAAAAATTTCAAACAACTAAAAAATTAAAATTTAAATAGAGATATGTTTCACAATATGTAGTCATATAGAGAAAAACATATAATCAAGCAAATTCACACAAGATATGGCAATTAAACTTGCAAGGAACATTTTCTAACAATAAGAACCAATCTCTTAAATACATTATACCTGAACTTCTAACATCTTTCTTTAAGATTTGCCTTGATTCATTCAATAAAGCCAAGATTTATAGATTTATCCCTGTAAAAACAACCTAAGATAGCTATAAAGCTTAAGTTCATAAAAAATTCAAAATGTAATTCAATTAAATTTAGGAACCTTACAATTCATTGGGATTTACCATTTTCAATTCCCAATTCCTTCTCTACATCTCTACACGGGTGAACTCCTACCCTTATGAGCATGTTTTTCGAACCAATCACAGGTTCCTAATCACCACCATACACATACATACATATGTATATACACATATATAAAATTACATAATTCTACTTGTTTATTTAATCAAAGTTCATACAATGACGACCTTTCAAGTTTGATAAAATTATAGAGACCTACTATCAATTTTTAAAAATTACATTTTAGTTCATTTGTTAACATTATTAGGAATATTTTGTTTAAGATTCTTAAATTCTTTATTATATTAATTAAAATATGAGAAAAAAATTAAAATTATTAAATTTCCCTCGTAACTTCTTCTCTCTCTCTCTTTCTGTTTTTAAGAATATTATGATTACATTCACATAAATATTTTACAAAATTAATACATATAAATTATATTAAATTTAATCAATAAATATAAATTATATTAATCAATTTATCTCTCATTATATTAAATTTATAACTATTTTTTCCCAATAAATTTTCTAATTCATTAAATTTTCATTCCTATAAGTTTGAAATATTATTTTTGTCAACTTATATATTTAAAATTTTAAGAATTATTATATAAATAAGTTTATATAAATGACTCTTAAACTTATATATTGTATAAATAATTTTATTTATATTTAATATTAATTTTTTTCAGTTTATATATTATAATTATCGTTTGAAAACTTAAATGACATTTAATAACATTTATGTTATAGTATGATATTTTAGTCAAAATATATATGATTTAATAGTAATAAATTGTTGGGTGCATGGAAATGAAATAATTTTTATAGAGGGGGTATATGTTATGTAAATTTTGATTTTAAGGAAGGTTTATATAAATTTTAAAAATATAAGGGGTCTCTGTAATTAAGTTAAAATAGATTGAAGGTTGGTGTATTTTACTCTAAATTATTCAATATAATTTATGTTTATTTTTCTTGAAATTTCATTAATTTTGACACAAAATTTTTAAATGATTTATTTAAATATAGATATACTTAATTATTTAAAAGTTTTTTAACTTGGGGGGTGAGAGAGAGAGAGAGTAGGAAGTTTGATTATAATGACAAATTAATAATTTTAAAATTTTCAACATAATTATAGATAAAAACTTAAGTATTTTAGAACATTTAAAAGAATATTTATAAAAATAAAACTAAAATGTAATTTTTGAAAACGGATGGTTAATGTATGTAATTTGATCGAAAATGAAAGGAATGCTACTTTATTTTTATTTTAATTATATAATAATTAATATATTATTGTTTGGTTGTTTCGGCGGTTGTGGAATAAAGGTATTATTATTTGATAAGTCTCGTAGTCTATAAAAGGCCATAATGGCGTCACTCTTGCCAATCCATATCTTCCCCACTTTCTTCTCTTTTCCACTTTGGGTCTCTTTGCCCCTCCTACTTTTGTTCTTTTGATTTTGAATTTGTCCATTGAAAAGAAAAAACTTATTAAGACTAGAATCATCACGCCTTCTCCTGCTACTAATGCCACGCCATCAGGTTTCGGCCAAACCATATGTGTCACTGGCGCCGGTGGCTTCATCGCCTCATGGATTGTCAAGCTCCTCTTAGACAGAGGTTACACTGTTAGAGGCACAGTCAGAAATCCAGGTTTTTTAACGTGTTTTTTTATAATAAAATAAAATTCTTTTTTTTTTAAGTCAATTAATTTTTAACTTTTAGGAATGTTTTTATATATATGTTCTCCAAAGAGAATTTTTGTAGAAGTGACATGCTATAAGTCATCAATATATTTTATATAATATATTAATAATTTGAGAGTCAATATATGTTTTAAAATTTAAACAACTAACATAATATTTAAAAAAATAAAAAATTAAATTGATAAAAATTAAACTTAAAAGATTAAATTAATAATCAAAATAAATTTAAGAAACTAAAAAGTTTCATTATCTCAAAATATTTTAAACAAAACATCAAATTTAAAGATATTTTAATTTCATTTTTCAAAAAGAACTAATAATATGTGTATATGCTCTAGTATTTTTTTCACCCTTCTATAAAAAAAAATGAGATGATATTAATTACAACAAATTTATGTTGCACTTATTTTAAAACATTACAGAATAGGATGGTTTTGTTTACCATGATGTTATTATTATTTCCCCCCTTAATTTTTCATTACAATGTGTTATTATCCAAAATTGGAGCTATGATTAATTAGCATATGGGCTAAATAAAATCCAATTTAGCTAAACCTCTTAAGGGCTCATTTGTTTTTGCTTATTTCATAAAAAAATTACTTTTTTTGAAAAAAACTCTATTTGCTGAATTTTTATTATGTTTGTCCAATCTTTTGAAAATGATTAGAATAAATTTTTTTTTAATTATTTTAAGAAGCTACTTTGAGTAACTTTTAAAAATAATTATTACGATAAATGAAAGAGTGTTTTAAAAAGACAGAATATGCAAATATATCATAAAATTTTAAAATAATATAATAATAATTTAAAAAATAATTACATTTTATTATTATAACCAAACATAAAATAATATCTTCTTTTCATAAAATCTCTATAAAACAAATCTTTTTTTATAAAATTTCTAAACTGTCTAAAATTTACTTTTTTCAATCTTAAATAAATGAGCTCTAGATCCGAAAATTTCATCTGCTTGATGCTGGGTAAAACAGAAGGCACCAAATAAAAAAATATTTTTTCCAAATTTAATTACTTTATCCATTATTTGCAGTTAAGAGAAAACACGAGATAATAAGGGTGTTTAAAACTGAATACATCTAGCTATACAAAATTAACCAACCAAAACTGATTAAAACTAATCATTAATGAGGTCCGGTTTGGGTTTAAGTATATATTTATAAACCAAATGGTTTAGTTTAGGTTTTGGTTTTGAACCTATGAAATCTGAAAGAAACCTGAACCACACTTTTTTAAAAATTTCTAATACATTTTTTACGCAGTCAATTTAATTAATATTAGTATTTAATATTAATTGAACTCGCTGATATCTCAAACCTTTCACTTTTTGATTACATTTCATTAATTATAGACTTTAACACAAATTGTAATGAAATTTGTCTCATGCTACTAATTTATTCAAATATAATGTTGATGATGTGGGAAATTTGTTAACTTGGGAGTAAAATCCCTCCTAGTATATTGAATCCAATAATTTCTTTTGTTGTAGAAAACAAATTCAAGAGATCAGTTTAATAGTAAAAGAGTGAGAATAAAAACTTAGTCTTCACATTTTACCAAAAAAAAAAAAAAAAACTTAGCCTTCACACACATCTCCGCCCCTTCCCCTCCCCAACAAAAAGAAATTCATTGTAGACATGAAGTATGATCCGTACATCAACAAAACCAATAATCCAAATGAACCGCTCTTTAAAAATTTGATGAAGTTTATTATTATTTCTTTTTTTTTTTTACCAAATTCAATTAGTTTAGTTCTGTTCAGTTTTTCCCTAAAAATGAATCAAACCTAACCTCTGAACGCCCAAAATAATAATAATAATTGAAGTTTAAAACTTTTATTGAAACCTAAATTTAAAATTGATAAGATTCTAAGAAAATATTATCTTAATAAGAATTCTAGCAAATTATTATTTAAGGCTTAATTTCACCTAACACAGCAGCTGAGTTTTATGAAATCAACATTTATGTATTAAGTTGTTTATCAGAGAGGCTGATTTTTTGTTTTCGGTCGACATGCATGGGCGTTTGTGAAATTTGATGGTGATGGTCAGACGATTCTAAGAACGAACACTTGAAAAATCTGGAAGGAGCACAGGAGAGGCTAACTCTTCATAAAATTGATCTTCTTGATGATCTCAAGTCCATGAAAGCTGTTATTAATGGCTGTGATGGTGTTATTCATACCGCTTCTCCCATCACAGACAATCCTGTAAGTCTGTCTTTATCTTTTCTTCACCTTTTCAAGTCATATATCAAATAGAATAATTTAATTAGGTGAATATATTTAAGTATCATATGATTAATAATTATCATTACCATCTCATGATTGGTTAATGGCTGACGATGCATGGGTCTTCCTATTCTTTCATTCCCTTTTTCTTTGACTCAATTGGCTGACCGACATTTTGAAAAACTTGGGGGTATTACACCACCTCCTATTCAAACTAATTTGAACCCCCCACTGTATGAAATCATTATTACTAGCAATAACCTTATAAATATCTCCAAAATATCTTTGGGATATTCATTTAGGACTTAAAATGCATTTTTACCCCTTGAACTATCCTAAACTATTTTTCATAATAATTTCACCTCTGAAGTAATATTAAAACATAGTATATTTTTTCTTGATGTTAAATATTTCAACGTTAACTATCATTAAAAATGCTGATTAGGATTTAAGTTTGACTTTAGAATAAGCTAATTCAACTTCTAGATCAGTTGAACCCAACATTCCTCAGTTCTTTCATTTCCTAATAACTGAAACAAGAAAGAAATTAAGTGTGATTGATTTAGAGCATGGATTAATAAAAGTACTTGAAAATGCACATGCACGAGGATGATGCATAAATGTCATATAGGAAGAGATGATGAAACCGGCGGTAAATGGAACGAAGAATGTGATGATAGCAGCTGCAGAAGCAAAAGTGCGTCGAGTTGTGTTCACGTCATCTATTGGAGCTGTCTACATGGACCCCAACAGGAGCATTGACATGTTGATTGATGAGTCTTGCTGGAGCGATTTGGAATATTGCAAGAACACTAATGTACGTACTATATGCTGCAATGCACTTCCCTTTAATTACCTCTTTCATCTCAATCACAAAACTCCTTTTTCAGTGGTGGGGTGGGAACTGTGGTGATAGGCGGATGGACACGGAGCTTTTAATTTATTAAGAAAATTAATTTGTGGATGCTTATAGTTTATTGTATTTTAGTCAAGTCCTTATATTTTGATTTATAAAATATGTTAATCTCTGAAATTTAAAATTATTAATAAATTATTAACTTTCTCAAAACAAAAACACGTTTAAAGTTTATAGAAAATATAATTTAATACTCTTGATAAAAAAATAATTTAATAAAATGTTTACATTTTTATTAAATTATTTTTTAAAATTCTATATGTGTAAAATTTATTTAGAAGACATAATATAATTAATTATATAAATTTTGACTCATTAAAAATATGTACTCAATTCTAAAGTTATATAATATTTTAAAAAAATTAATTTTTTTTTAATTTTAAAAAGAATATTATATGAATTTTATATCCTTAAGGGATTAACATATCTAATAGATATATAAAGACTTGATTAAAATAAACTAAATTACATAAATCTAATTTTAAATCAAGAAAAAAACTATAAGAATATGTAGATTAATTTTTTAATATATAGGTGTTATACATTTTCATCTTCTTGAAATTTATGAAATGTTTATAATATTATGTATAATTTCTAATCTCAACCTTCCCCATATATATAAAAATTATGGCCGCGCCTCTGTCATTTATGAAATTATTTAGAGAACTATAGCGATTTCCGCATCTACTCATTTGAAAAGACAGGTGGAGAGAGAAACACCTGTATGTAAGGATTCTAAATATTTTATGGAAAATTACTTTAACTTTTCACTCAATAAAATTAATTACTTTCAGATTTAATAATAATTGAATTTAAAAAAATGATAAAACAATGTGTCAATGAATCTAAAAATAATTAATTAGTTTGAATGGGACTTGTATGTAATTTTTTCAATATTTAACATACTTTGTTTTGTTACATTTCATTTACATTTTGTATTTAAAGAAGAGACTCAAACCAAACTTAGATAAAATAAACCATTAGGATTATTAGTTCTAAAACTAAATGGCTAACATCTATTCGCAATTTAATAAAACACTATACTTTTTTGGGAGGTAGTACAAGACACGTAGTAGTATTAGACATTCAATATACAAACACATATACACGTAAATAAGGATTTGTTCAATCACTAAATGGCCTAAACACAGAAAATGTTTTTACTCCTTGTGTTTGGATAGACAAGAAAAAATAGAGAGAAAAAAAGAGAGAGCAAAATATCATAATGACTCCAATATTCCTAAGTCAAATATATCTTGTTTCATGTAATTATCTATATAAAAATAAATTGAAAGCATAAATTATATAAAAACTAACACCATCAGATTTTGGTTGTGAGAATGAGAAAAGCCTTCTATAACTAAACCCATTACTTGAATAAAAGTTAAGCGGAAATTGATTACTGCTTAAGATGAAATTTATCAAGTAGACTTCTCTCTATTAAGACATGTCAAGGAAAATTCAGCTCTCAATTTTTGTATACACTTAATCATAAAATACATGAAAATGTGTGTTTGCGTAAGTTTTCAAGTCAAGATCTCTATATCAGTATTGTAGGTGAATCGAAGCTACTTTGAATGGGTTTGTATTTCTGTATCTACAGTCAGTCCTTAGTAGCCCGTTTGACAAATTTAAATGCCAACTAAAGTTCTAGGACCACTCTATTATCCTGTTGGATGGCTTTGACCTGTCCTTGAGCCTAGTTGTTGACAATGTTATGAATGTCAACAAGAAATTAATATAGGCATGGTGCTATGTTCTTGTAGCAGTGTGTTTAAAACAGGTGTTTTTAGGATTATTAGAAAAAATCCCCATTTTTGTTAAAAAAATATTTTTTACTCTAGTTAAAAGCTTTTAAAAATGTAGAAAGTCCACTTTTCTACACTTATTGTAAGCTTTAACCAGAATAGAAAATTTATTTTCCACACTTATTAGAAAGTAAAACTAGCATAGAAATTTAGTTCATTTTCTACACTGATTACTTCTACCGTAGTTTTAGAACTAGTGTAATAAGTCTTTAGTTTATTTATTAACCAATTTAAAAAATCTTCCTTTTAGCAGTGAAATCTGTTCACAATTAATAAAACATTGTATTTTTTGGTTGTACAACACTTGCGATAGTATTAGACATTCAAAATCCATATAAACATATAGTACTAAATCCAACCAAATAGTTTGAAAGTTCTTGATAAATGAGTTACACCAAATACAATGATTGAAACGCACTGCAAGCTAGGTATGATGGGGTATGTATTTGCGGTAAACTTTATAGTTGTGTTCATCTAAAGGGTGTTTGGATATATTTTTTCAAAAACATGGTGTTGGCTTATATAATTGATCATTTAAAGTATCCAAACATGCATGCATATAATGAGGGATGAATTTTGTAGAATTGGTATTGCTATAGGAAGGCAGTAGCAGAGCAAGGAGCATGGAATGAGGCAAGAGCAAGAGGGGTGGACTTGGTTGTGTTGAACCCGGTTTTGGTGGTGGGACCATTGCTCCAATCCACCATAAATAGGAGCACAACGCACATTCTTAAGTATCTCACAGGCGCTGTCAAAACCTATGTAAATGCCACTCATGCTTATGTTCATGTCAAGGATGTGCCATTGGCCCATATTTTAGTTTGGGAGATTCCTTCTGCTTCTGGTCGTTACTTATGTTCTGAGAGGTCACTCCACCGTGGAGAGGTGGTTGAAATTCTAGCCGAGTACTTCCCAGAATACCCAATTGCTACCAAGTAAGTCCTTTTTTTTTTATACACAAAAGTCAACAAAAAGTCTTTCTTGTTTTATACGGGGAAAAGTAATTTGCGCGTCCTTCTAATTTTTATTAATTTTGAATTAGATTTTTATAATTTATTTTATTTTAATCAAACCCTTATAGTTTAATCGATTATAAACATATTAGAACACCTTGAAAGTTAAAATTGTTAATGAATAATATAATTTTCCAAAACAAAATTTTTTAAAAAAATTTATAAAAAAATTGATTTAATACTTTGAGAAAAAAAGGTAAAATGAAAATTTAATTTAATACAATGTTTACATTTTAACTATTTTTTATGAAAATTCTATATATATATATATATAATTTATTTAGAAATCATAACTTAATTATATAAATTTTGAGTTATAAAAATTATGTAATTAATTATAAAGGTATATAATATTTTAATAAAAATATAATAGTTCTTAATGTTCTTTTGAGATTAATATATTTAATCGATATCAAACTATAAGGAATTGATTAAAACAAAATAAATTATAAAGACCAAATTCAAAATTGAGAAAAGCTAGAAAGATTTAGAGTTTAATTTTCCCTTTTAAAATATCAATGTTCAAACATGATTCTTCTAAATAACTTCATGGATAGATTCTCTTATGATTATTGAATTTGTTCAAAATTGAAAATGCTTTTCACTTTGACACTATAAATTTAATTGTCATATATATTGGCTTAAGTAGGTGTTCAGATGAGAAGAATCCAAGAGTAAAGCCCTACAAATTCTCTAATCAAGAGCTGAAGGATTTAGGGTTGGAGTTTACCCTAGTGAAGCAGGCTCTATACGAAGCAGTCAAGAACCTACAAGATAAAGGCCATCTTCCTCTTCCAAAGTAGAAGTTTTTGAGATTAAATCATGGAGAGCTGGACTCTAAGAATGCGAAATAATTACCAACAAATTAGTTATTCAGTATTCCCCCTAATATTAAGGACATAGAGATGTACTTTCTTTCTTTATTTCTTTTGCAATTGAGGTAGAACCACAATTTAAGTTTAAGGAGAGCGTGATTAAAAAAAAAACACATATATTGTACAAATTTTTCATGAATCTTAAGGGTTTATAAATGTATAACATCTTTATAATATAATATTAAGAAAAAACTTGGGAGAATGACATTTAAAAGACTCAAAACAATGAATTTATGACAGTTAGATTCTCGACAAAATTTTTTAAAAGATCAATTATAAATATTTATTTAGATAGTCATAATTTTAGGAATTCTAACTACAAATAAGTTGCTTAAATTTTAAATATAACTCTCAGTCTACAGTTGAGATTCCTATTTATAACTATTTGAATAAATATAACTCTCACTCTAGCTTGGCCATGAAGCTCATGATTCATCCTTCATCTTCCTCTCTCTAGGATTCCTCCAAGGTGCATAGCTTCTCATTTTTATCTCCATGGTCTTCATCATCTTCTTGACATAGCTGAATTCCATTGCCACTTGAGTGATAATTTGAAACTTTGCAACTTGAGGAAAATGGATGGGAATGGATGAAATAATAAAGAGGAGAAGAATGGTGTGTTTTGCGGTGATTTGAGTGAGAGATTATGGAGACAGAGAGGATGGCTATGCGGTTTGATGAAGGAGCAAATGAAGAACAATCGCAGAACAAGTGAGAGAAAATGAGAGAATGTATGTGAATGAAGTGGAATGTGTTTTGATATGAAAATTGATGCAAAAGTATGTGCAGAATGTTGTGTTACAGCTCCCCAAATATTAAAATAAAAGAAAATAAAATGAAAATGTAATTGAATCCAAGTTATATAGATGAGGCTTGCAAGGTGGCATACTCTTATTAACTTGTAGATGATTCCAAAGTGTGTCAACTTAATCCTATGCTTCATCTACAATTTAACTAGATCTACTTCCTCAAATGATAGCACTTGCATGCCCAAATGTTCAGATTTTCCCTCCTTGAAGCTTTGCCCAATTGATACACATGTACACATTTCATTTATGTCACAAAATACACATAAGTCAATTTTATAAAATGTGACATCATTAAATCTAATTAAAATGCAGCATTACATTTATATTTAGAAGGGAGAATTTATTAAAAATGTCCAAGTAATGAGAGCACATTTGAGAAAGTCAACAAAAAGCGTCAACTTTTATTTAATTATTTCCAAACTAAAATGAATTTGAAAAAACTAATTTAACCACTCTTTTTTTGCACTTGAAATACATTTTGTCAAATTTTTTTATACATTTTCTCAAAAATTTATTTTTTGGATCAAAATAACCTTAATGCATAAAACCTATACACATACATTGCCACACAAAAATATAAATATAAGATGCAAAAAAAAAAATTACAGTTAAAAAATATGTCATATAAAGGTGAGACGAGTGATAGTTAGAAAATAAATGACATCATTTATTATTTTAAAATAAATGACGAGTATTTGAAAAATCCATCATATAAAGTTTTTTAAAAAATTGAAAAGAAACATAAACTTTAGATGACAGGTGTATTCAAACACACATCTTTTGTTGTGACGACTTTAAATGACAGGTGTTTGAAACACCTATCATATAACGTTGCAAATTCTAATTAGTAAAATAATAAAAAAAATTAAATTTTAAATGATGGGTGTTTCAAACAACTGTCATTTAAAGTCTTCACAATAATTGGCATGTGTTTGAAATAACCATAATTTAAAGTTTAATTTTTTGATTTTTTTTAAAATTTAAACATTAAATGACCGGGGTGTTGCTTTGCATCGTCTTCATTCATTCAGTTCAAATGCAGCAAAAAATATAAAATAAATAAAAAATTGAAATCGATGTTTATTTATTTATGTCTCATTTTCACCTGTCTTATTATAACGTCAATTGGATTCCATCCAAACTTTGAAAATTAATTAAATCATAATTAATCGACTAACAAAAAGTGTTACGCAATGCAACGGCGCCGCTGACATTTCAACGCTTTGGTATATATTACACCTTCTTATCTTATTTACAAAGTTAAAAGAAAAGATATTTTTTATTTCATTTATAAATCATCTTATTAAAATTTGGCTATTCAACAACTCATTTACACATTAGGCAACTTTTCACCATATTTACCACAAATTCACTATAAATTTTCATATTTTCACATTCACAACATGTTCACAACTAAATCTTAACCCAATCTCATTGAATCCTTCCAATTTCTTCATAGTTTTTTCCGTCACATAATTATATATTATAGACTTACAGTAGTTCAGTCCTAGTTAAAGCTGAATCAAAATCACTTTTTCAATTGCCACACAAAAATATAAATATAAGATGCAAAAAAAAATTATAGTTGAAAAATATGTCATATAAAGGTGAGACGAGTGATAGTTAGAAAATAAATGACATCATTTATTATTTTAAAATAAATGACAGGTATTTGAAAAACTCATCATATAAAGTTTTTTAAAAAATTGAAAAGAAACATAAACTTTAGATGACAGGTGTATTCAAACACACATCATTTGTTGTGACAACTTTGAATGACAGGTGTTTGAAACACCTATCATATAACCTTGCAAATTCTAATTAGTAAAATAATAAAAAAAATTAAACTTTAAATGATGGGTGTTTCAAAAAACTGTCATTTAAAGTCTTCACAATAATTGATAGGTGTTTGAAATAACCATAATTTAAAGTTTAATTTTTTGATTTTTTTAAAATTTAAACATTAAATGATGGGTCTGTTTCAAACACCTGTCATTTAAAGTTTTCACAATATATGATGGGTCTTAAAAATACCTGTCATTTATTTGGGAATAAATGATGGGTATTCAAACACCTATCATTTATTCTTGTATAACTATATATGATAAGGATGTAAAAGCCTATCATATATGCTTCTTTTTAATGCTTTTCTTCTTTTTTCATTTTCATTTTCAACTCACGCTGATAATTTCCTCTCATTTTCTCCATTGCCTTACCTAGTCTATTCGCCCATATTTCAGCATGATTTTGCTGTTTTTCATCCAGATCTACCTAATCCATTTGAAGCTCTAGCCAATCTGCTGTTTGCATCATCTACTCACTCAAATCTAGAGCGAAGCTTGTCATCCATTTGCTCAGACCTAGAACAAAGTTCATCATACATTCAGGAAGAAAAGGTACAAGGTTGTAATAATACTAGCTGGCTGTATAATCTTCATAATTTTTGCAAGTCAAGGACCATAAAAAAAGACGGCAACTTTAAGTTGGTTGCCCCTTTTCTTCAAGATTTGTCCCGTGTTTGAATCTTCCAAGCTACCAAACATTAGCAGGTGCTATTCAGTCATTGCATCCCATATGATTCACATGCTTATTCTTTTATTATTTATTTCCCTATCCTTCAACACATCCTCTTTGATCTCCTTCCTTCCTTTTTTTTTGTTGCCTTTTAGCAAACACCTTGTCAAGTTCATTCATCTTCATGTTAGACCATTGGAGTTGGAGAAATTTATTGTTCCATGTCATGCTAACTGACAAGGAGACAATGTGAACTAGAAATGGACAAGAGAAGCCACACTGTAATGATAGGTGTTGAATTATGCCACCTCAACAAATATTAATGAATTTTGACATTTCTTTAAGTATAAAGATAATAGTCATTAATAACATGTAAAAATTCTTATTTCTTTATGAATTTTGGTTTTTTTTTGTGTTTGTAGCTGTTGCACTCGAAAATGCGATGCGGATGGCACGCGAGAGCGAAGGTTCTGGCCTTCAGAAAGAAGACCAAAGAAATGAGAGTTGCCATTAAAATTTTGAGGAAAATCTTGGGAAATCATTTAAAGGAGAATAAGGATGGTCTGCGAAAATAAAAAATAGGTTCGGGAGTCGATTGAGTATGGGAAAGGTTTTAGGCACCCCACAACACCGGTCCATGAGAACGCTTACCTGAAGTTTGTTGTACTAAATTAATACGATTTTAAGGTTATTTTAATTATCCCTTTCTTAGTCACGTGTTTTAAAAAATAATAATACTAAACTGGGGAATATTTATTTATTTATAAGGGAGGACTTGACTTAGAATTGGACTCTGAGGCCTACGTACTTCATCTACTTTATATTTTACATGTTATACACTTGATTTTTGGCACCAAATAGTGCATATTAGGGTTTGTTCTCAATTTTTAGCTATGTTTTACACATTCACTTCATAGACCCTAATAATGCTATTTGGTGGTTGTTTTGAAACTTTAAGATGCTTGATTGGATATTTGGGCATAAATTCTCATTTTCTTCCTTTTTAATTTTCTTTTTAGAATTTATTTAGTCTTCCATTTTTATTTTTAGATTTTTGTAAGGGCAATTTTGGAATCAAGGATAAAGGGCTAGTCAACATGCTTGGAGAAATTCAAGAGATAGCAAATAAATAAAGATGAAGAATTTAGGGGTTGTTAGGCACAAATTCCAAAATTATTTGAGGGATGATGTGGCACCATTATTTAGATTTAATTGGGGAGAATTAATTAAATAAAAAATCAAAGGAACCTGGGAAGCATTGAGGGACACATCATTAAGTGAAGAACAGGCATGGGAGGTGTGACATGATCAGATTTAATGGGAGGACATGTGGCAGCTGATTGGGAGCCTAAGGAGCAGTCACATTTCCCACACATGTTCACATGTCCCTTGCCACATTTTTCATCTCATTTTTATTCCCATTTTAGCTTATTTTTGTCCATTTTTTCAGCTCACTTCAGATCTAGACCTTCCTTGTTTTTATCACCATCCACTTTGGTTTTATCACCACTCACATTTTCCACACATACTTAATCCTTTATTTTTCATTTCATATTCATTCTTCACCTTCACTTGCCAGATTTTTCTAGATTTTTCTCTCTTCTT